AATCTATGTATATAGTATTAAACGTTGATTAAGCCAGACTTTATTGTCCAATAATTTTTGGTATCTGACACAAAGATAAATAGACTTCAAATATTTCGAAAAAAATATGACTTTATTCTTCGGTATGATCTCTTACTTAACCGATGTATTTGTTGTAACGGTCCTCAGAAATTTATTGCTTATCAGCCATTGCTATGTACAGGGGCGAATCCGCGGGGGTTTGGGAGGAACTGCGGAAAATTTCTTTTGAGTTGCAACTACAAAATTATATAGCCCCCCAAAAATCTTCTCTGGACCCGCCCCTGAACACACAGGAAAAACATGTGTTGAAAATTTAAACTTTGGTCAGCTACAGACGGTGTAAGTATGTCAAATTTTGAAAGAATCCTAGCATGAAGTTCTTAAAAATTTGATAGTATGTTTTTTTAAGTCCTCTCTCGACGAACAAAAATCAAACTCTATAAGACACTCATTATTCCTGTCCTGCTATGTGGTGCAGAAACATGGACGATGACAACATCTGATGAGTCGCCCTTAGGAGTTTTCGAGAGAAAGGTTTTGCGAAAGATTTGTGGTCGTTTGCGTGTTGGTCACGGTAAATATCGCATTCGATGGAACGACGAGCTATATGAGTTATACAACGATATTGACATATGTACATAGTTCAGCGAATCAAGAGACATCGGTTGCGCTGACTAGGAAGAGGAAGACCTCCACTCCATTGGAAAGACCAGGTGGAGAAGGACTTGGCTTCGTTTGGCATTTCCAATTGGCGCCACGTTGCAAAAATAAGAAGCGACCGGCACGCTGTTGTTAACTCGGCTATAATCGCGTAAGCGTCAGTAAAGAAGAAGAATATAGGATCTATGTTGGCTATATTTGGTCGCACAAATCATGAAACTATTCATGTTTTTGCAAGATTCGCTCTCATTTGTTTTCATTTAACATTACAAAAATCTGAAACTAAAATAGCACATTTATTTATTATGTCAGTTTCGTTTGAAAAAAATAAGGATACTTTCAAATAAAGACTAAATGTTAAAGTAATGTTAAAATCATATGTTATATTTTAATAAATTTCCTTTAATGAGCTTTTTTTTAGTTTTACAGTTTATAAGGTCCAGCAATCATCTGTGACGACCCCATTAATCAAATTTTTCCGAAATTTTAACCAGACCAAAATTTCCTCATAATACGATTTACGGTTAACTATCAACACATTACCTTACCAAGCTTAAATTTCCGAAACAGTCATAACCTTGATAAAATCTATATCTTGAGAACAATCAAATATTTCAGATTTCACACTGAGTTTCGGAACAGCTGTGATCAAAACAATATCCTCATTCACCGCTTTGAAAAATTGCTTTCCATACCAAACTTGATCACGTATAAAATCACTGAGTACATTTTGAGAGAATAACTTTTGCGAAAATGTTTTACCGTCCCACTCACTTCCACGGGTAAAATGTACCGAGTTCAGGGGATTTGGCGTCATCATTGGTTATGAGTGGACCATGCGAATTATTTTTGGGTCCGTGCGAATCATCGAAATTGACTTTTTCATTGAGTAAAACTGAACATTTTGTAAACTGAATAATTAAAATCGTTTTGCACATTTTCGGAAAGGAGGCTGAGAATTGGGATAACCTGATATTTGTATGCGTGAAAAAACCCTAAGCTTGACCGAAAAAATAAGTTTTATTGATACGAAGCCGATGATTGATCAGAATATAAAATATGCCATGAAAACATTAAAATTTGCTAAATATCCAGAACAACAAAATTAAATTTTTGTGGAGCTGTGTAATCTATATACATATGTACATATGTATATAAAAGAAAGTTGTGTTAGTTTCACCATTTATAACTCAAGAGAGGCTGGACCGATTTGGCTGAAAATTGGTGGGGAGTTAGTTTAGCACCAGGGTAAGGACATAGGATAATTCTTATCTCTTTATATTAAAATTGAATACAACTAGAAAATTATATTTCAAATCAAAAGCATTTGTTCAAAATGCATGTTTGTAGGAATCATTTGAAAATACATAGGCGTACAATTTTAAACAGATTCTTCCTAAACAGTAATACAATTGCTAAGTATTTGGAATAGTCGAAAAGAACTGCAACTAGATTATAACTCGCTCAGTAATCCAGTCTTTCCACGCCTGAAAACCGGTTCATCATGTGCAGCCCACTAGAATGACTGTCGATTGGACTCCAGTAAGAAATGATGAAGCTATGTTTCTATTGTCACACACCGACGCAAAAATTCGGTTTTGTTACAATTGAAGAGCACCCAAACAATTTTCAGAATCAGTTATTTGTTATTTTTGTTGGATTATGAACTGGCGAAGCACCCACTTTGCACAGAGCTTTCGCCTCTTTAAGCTTGGCAAATATCTTTCCATCGGTGGATTTTTTTGTAAACTAACACAAGTTGCTTCACGAAAATGCTATATCTCATTAACTAATAGTTATAATCCAACTAATAGAAATCATATATGTAGATGGTACAGCCACAGTGAAGCGTGGACGGGTCCTCTATTAAATACATAAAAATAAAACGATAGAATCTTATTGAATTCAATATTGATTATATTTGTTATTGATTTCGTTTTTATGTATTTTTATTCACCGTTTAATACATTTCACTTTTTTGATTTGTTTAAACTAATTTTTAAATGTTACGGACTAAATTACGAGTTAATAATATATTTCAAATATTCCATTTATATTTTATGTAGTTATATTAATTATAATGTATGTGTATGTATTGAATGTAGTTATGTATATATATCTATATATTTGTATATATATAGTTTATGCGTATTTCCATGTTTGAAATTATCGATATTTCACTTATTACATATTAAACTGACAAATAGAAGAGTTTTAGTGGAAATACATTTTATTTTCATTTATTATTTATGCTTGCATTATGCTTTTTCCAATAAAAGTGTAATTTAATTAGTAAATATTTCATAATAACTAGGCGCGGTACATAAAGGAAAAACGAAAAGAAGCTAACTTTACCGCCTATGACAAAAACAGAACAATAAACACTAATAAATAAAAGAAATGTTTTAACCGAAAAAAGTTCAAAAGAAATGTTATAAGGCATCAAAATCATTGATTGAAATATACCAGCGACACATTGCTGAAGCGGCACAGGTGGGAAATTCAAGTGTTAATTAATTTGTGAAATAGTTCATACTAACGAAACTGCGTGTAAAACCCGGCAATATGCTTGTTTAGGTGTGTTCGACTGAGTGCAATTTAAAAGTAAGTTTTCCACACCTCCTCCCCCAACGCTTTTGCACAAATCCATTAATTCACTTAGCCTAAACTGATAAATCGCAATGGGTGTATATGTATATCTACTTATGTATGTATATAGATGTATGCAGTTGTAGTACAGCAATGTATATATAACTAAGCTCGACTAAAGTGACACATTACTAATAAGAGTTCTATGATACAAAGTGTTATGCTGACGAAACTGAAAATCTACAAATCTTTAAAGCGTTTGGTCTTGTTGTTGACGATGTTGTATGCTAAATAGCTGCAGTTATATTGTTGAATGGCTAAGTAAACTAAACTGCTGTTTTTTTGACCACTAAATACTAGTAAGACTATATTTTTGCTGTACGCTTACGACTTACAACGTTTGCAGTTAGTTAAGTTTAAGTGTATTTTAATTCAAGATTACTGGCGGGCGTTACAAAGACTACATAAATGTGTGTGTGCGCTTATTTACTTGTAAGATTTTGGTCTTGCCTTCAATAAACATATTAAGTATATTAAACTTTTAGTATTTCTGTTAGACTATTTGTAAGCATGTATGTACATGTACGCCATTAGACGCGACGTCAAAAAATACCTGAATAGTTGCTTAAGAACATATTTTGCTGTATATGTGATCCAAAACGCGCACATAACATAAAAAATTCAGTAGTACTAGATGAAAATGAAAACAAACAAAAAATAAAAAAAATAAAAAAAAAAACCTAACCAAAAATTTATAACATAACTACATACATACAATATATTGAAACAATTTAAAGCACTTCGCTATAATAAGCAACATAAAATAGTAAACTCATTTTCACTTTCAGATTTTTAGAAAATAATATGAATTTAAGAAAACTATTTTTTTTTTTTTTAATTAAAATTAGTTTGATAATCTATGAATTTGCTCCTTTTATTTATACGCCACTGCTTACTTCATATTTATATAAGATTGCTAAGAAAACTTGTTGCCAGAAATGCCTTCTACGGTTTTACTTGAAATCCGCAACTGTCTTCGATATTTTTTCAATTCAATGATTAACGAAGTTTGCTATGGTCAGCGCCGGATAGTTAGTAAATCATTGTTGTTATTGTTGCACAGCGGCATCAAATATTACCAAACCTTGTTTTTCGGAAATACTTTACTTCAATAACTAACGTTTGAAAAAATTTATTTGTATGCACACACAACATTTTGAGCGTTTAGAGTTTATGCCTAAACAAAACGCCAGCGATACATTACCACCTTACTGGATACATATAGGTGAGGTGTTTGCACTTGTGCGTTTATTTTTCGTTCATCTCAAACATTTGTTCGCCAATTATTTTTGCAATTTTTTATTATCATTCTATATTTTATTTATTCTTTTTCCGTTAAATTAATTTCATATTTCATATATTGAATTCAGTAATTAAGAATATGTTTTCAATTTCTCTGCGAGTGTGTGTGTGTGTGAGCATGTTTATTTTCTTTTTGTATTTGTTGGTTTCTATACATATACATACATATCTGCTGTTGTTGCATTGGACATTTTTTGACTCACTTGTTAAGTTTAAGACGCTTACTTTCGATTTCATCAGCAATATTAACTGCGGTTTCAATCATATCACCCATTCAAAGTTATTTTAACAAAAATGTACTTCCTGTTTTTGTTTTTGTTATTGTTTTTTATGCTTTCCATTATCGTTATTGATACATTTATTTGTATTTATGATAAATGGAACGACATACTGCCCTCATTGGCGGCAACTTTGAGTTTCTGCCGCATCACTTCCCGACTTGAGTAATCGGGTAATTTTAAATAGTTCACACAAGTCATTACCGATGGCAAATAATCATTTGGATTTTGATTACCGTCAAATGTTTTACGCACAATTGTTAATTGTGGTGTTAGTGACTTGAAGCCGCCTGTTGGCAAGCGCGGCGAACCAGTAACGAATTGTAAAAATAATCGTTGCTCATCACGATTGTACGAAGAGAGTATATCATATAGATATTGTATGGCTTGTGAGTCCTGTGTAAAACCATGATCGGTACGGCAACAGTCTTGTAGCATTTTAATCTCCCAACGTTGATAGTTGGTAGCACCAGAACCGCAGAAGACATTCTCCAATTCTTCGGGATAAAACATGCGTAAACGCTGCGTTGAGAATACCGAGTCGAAACCTTTTCAAGCAAAATAAAAATAAAAATAAAACATAAATTCCATGCAGCTTATTTAAATTTTGTTATTTTTAGGCTCGATTTTTACCTTCTCGCAATGCCTCAAATTGTTTCTGAACGCCTTCGACCAAGAACCAATACGTCACCAATGAGATGTACTGATGCAGATTGTGTATTGTTACGGGCGTATCACGTCCACCGCGACACAATTCAATATTGGCATAGCCAGGTAATACAAAGTCTAAGCCCAAATCGGTTATTGGACAACCGTCCAAGTCAAGTGAATCAATCTAAAGGTGAAATAAATTTTAAAATTATGGATTTGTTTTATTTTTTTATATCTATTCAAGTGCTTGCCTTTTCAGTCTTTTCCATTGCATCAAGATTGGGATCGGCCAGTATGCGTTCCCGCTCATGTACCACATCTTGAAGTCGCACCAATGTGGTTTGTACCTCGGGCGCAACCCATGCCAACTCGGAGAGCCCAACCGAGTGTTCTTCATTCAATAGCCAACGATAGAATGGTATCGAGAAAGGTAGATCAAGCTGAGGGAGATATTATAATTATTGTATTGTTGAATTACACAAAAATTAGTAATATATGTATATTGTAAAATTTTTCACTCCTAAATCAATTAAATGATGGATCAAAACGAAAAATTGTTTTAAAATCGGAAAAATTAAGACTTTACTATTAGTTATTATACCCTGAACAGAGTATATTAAATTTGACACGAAATATATAACATTTATAAGAAAACATCGGAAACCTCATAAAAAATGCTTTTAACATATATATAGGGTATTCACAACCTGTCTTAAATCGTAAAGTCGTAAAATTTTAAATTTACAGTTTACACATTTACAATTCTCAATACTATGTTTTCGAATCGTTATAACTTATAACTTGAAGAGACATGTGAAAACCCTAATTTTTATTTAAACAAGTGTAAAAATTTAAAATTTTACGACTTTACGATGCTTTAAGACAGGTTGTGAACGCCCCAATTGTATAAATGGTCACCCTGACGATTCATGTCCGTCTCTTTGTATATGCTGGTTATTCAGTTTTTCAAATATCGATCTGACATGTCTATTTCTCCACAAGAAACTGATGAATTGTCGTATTCGCCGACAGCGGATACAGCTGCCATATAAGCTGAACGAACGGAATCAAGTGCTTGTATAGGAAACTCTTTTTATTTGATAAGATGTACATCTCTCCGAATAATTGCTCCACTATAGCATACTGCTGCCATACAAACAGATCGATTAAGATCGAGTTCTTGTATGGAATAATTTTTATTTGTGAATGGTGTTATACATCAACGCTGCCGAATTCAACGGTTTTTCGTAAATGCATTTTTTTGTTTCCATGCTAAAAAATAGGTCTCAAAATAAAGTTAAACTCGGATGAAATTTTCATGGAGATTTTTCGCTGTTATTTTCGGTTGTTTGATTCCCTATTATTAATTTTATGCATTATACACTCAATTTTGTTTTTAATAAATATATCTTAAAAGAGTCGATGCTATCCTTTCCCTGTATCAGCAAAACCATTCTCTGAGATACTACGATATGTCCCTTCCTTTTCGTTTACTTTTTCACAGTGTCATTAAATCAGAACTGATAACGACTTATAAGTAGAAACTACCATCAATCTTGACAATTAAACCACAACAGCTTAGCTGTAGCTAAATGCCAGAGCAAAACTAAATCTCCTTTGTCAAATGACAAAGATATGACATGTAATCTGACGAGCGTCCTTAGGCTAATCTTGGGGTGAAATTGAATATATGATCCGAGGTAACGAAGGAAAATTGCAATTTAATTTTACATTGTTCGAAGCAGTTCAAATTGAAACGAAAGGTGGATGAGGACACCACCACACCACATCGCGCAAAGATTAGTAGATTCATTGCTAAAACTTATATACTATATATTAGGTTGTCAAAAAAGTCTTGCGGTTGTTTTCGCTAGTTGGCGCTGAGAGCGCGTAGTTCTAGTTTTATTCGTCGCATCGCGTCATGCTATACCATTTTGGAAAGCTCATTTCACGCGCTAACACGTGTTTGATTGATTGTCGTTTTTTTTAAGTCGTTCGTGAGTTATAGCGTCGCAAACATGGAGCAAAATAAAGAGAAAATACGGCATATTTTACAGTACTGCAATTGAAAATTCAATAAAAATACCGCAAGACTGTTTTGACAACCTAATATTATATTATGATTAGTATCTACTGAAAATATAAATTTAGTAATAACAGAACAGTTTGGAGAAGTCTTTCGACTACCCTAACCTGACTTTTTTTTACTCATTTTTAACAATTACATACTAAAGTTAACTTAAACCTAAGTATTTCGGTACATTCTTTAAACGTTCTTACCATGCGGCTGTCCATTACGGCTTTAGCCATAAACTTTCCAAGGAATTTAAATTTCGCCTTCGATTTGGAAACATGTGGTAACTTCGATGATTTGCCTAATGGCATTGGGAAGAGTCCGTGTGGCGCATTCACGTAAGTCACTGATGTGCTGGTCGTTATTGTCGCCACATTTGTATTATTATCACCGATGTCGAGTGGTGAACTATCCCCACCGTCAGATTGTGAAATATTATGTTGATGTTGTTGTTGTTGTTGTTGTGACTCATCACCACCAATTTGTTGCTCAATAATCATATTCAAAGCATTCTCATTCGACATCGATGCGCTGCCAGCATGATCCATATTGGATTGTTGCGGTTGCTGCTGTTGGTGGTGGTGGTGACTACGCGTTGACATCCCCATTCCACTACCACTGCTGCTGTTTCCATGTTGGCCATCGGCACTGCGGTGATTCCTACTACTCGAGCGTGTTACAGTGGTTTTGCTAGATGTGATTGTTGTGCTATTCGCTTGGGTTGCTGTATTTGTTGTCAAGGTTACAGCAACGACTTCGTCTTGCTGTACGGTTGAAACTTCGCTCACTTCATCGATATGCACACTGGTGCTAGATTTTACCACATCCACTATGGTGGAAGAGTTCTGTTTGTAACTATCACTGCCATTCCACAGACCTAGATCACAACGCTGTAACTCAGCTGACACCAGAGCGTAAAATTCCAATGTCGGTCCAAGTCCAGTGCCAACCTATTGACACAATTGTTGGTGAATTAGTGAAATATTACAATCATTTATCGAAAGTAACTTACCTCGTTTTCGTATTGTATCTCCAGCAGTGCCTTCGAGTGACCAACATCTTGAATGATGTGCTCTGCTTGTTTTAGTATGTCTTCTCGCGATATGGCACGTTTCCTTCTGTCCAAACGTGGTGCTACACGCTCCGATGACTCAGCAGCATTAAGATCAGGTGTAGTATCCAAGAGTCGTTGCAAAGCACGATCACGATCAAAGCTTGTCGCATAGAACAACAGATGGCGTGTCTCGAAGGGGAAGAGGAACGAACATGCCATGCCAATTTGCGGCAACCATGGCGGTAGATTGCCAGTCATTATAACAAGTGGATCTTGTAATTGCCTATTGGCCTTAGCCGTAATTTTCGGATGCACAAATTCTGATTGCGGGATAATATGTTGTTTGTGCACGCAGCCGTAAAGCTGTTCCCAGTGTCGATTAAGCGCATTGATGATGCGCAGCATACAGAGCGCATCTAGCGAAGCATCTTGCACGGTTACTACATCGGGCGGCAGTGTGCTTGTGAGGAATGCCTTCAGCGCGGACACAGTGGCGGGCGCAATACCCTCATGCCATAATTCGGTTTTCTTCCGCAACAACTTGGACGAAGATTTACTACTCTTTTTCGTTGATGTGGATGTGCCCGTCGATGATGTGCCACCTGTAGGTGTATGCAGACCCGAACCAGAAGCGCCGGCAGCGGTTGAAGAGGATGCAGAAGTATGTTTACTAATACTAAGACTACTTGCATTTGCGGTTGTACCAGCACTACTGGCGTTCGCTTCTTCCTCCACAGGTCGATAGTAAATCGTGTGCTGCTGTACCCACACACTGGCATTACCCAATGGCGTTTCGGTGTCCGTATCAGTTTCGGATTGATCATTGACCAAGGGTGAAAACTGCTTGACGGCCTGGTAAACAGTCATGTTGTAGGGCAAGACGTGATCACCAATTAAGAATTGTAATTTATGTTTAAATCCACTTTGTGACATCACGACAGCGGCTACATTGTCATCCATATCCTCCTCGGAGTCATCGTCGGAATCGCCGCGTATACCGCCATAGCCACGCACAACCAAATAACGCTCGATCGCTTGTACCATAGCGAGAGGATCAATTTTAACGGTGCCACCTTTCCATTGTCGGAGATTGGTGCATTCGGGGTGACGTTGTAAGTTGCACTATTAATTAGTCAGAGAAAATATTCAAGTTTTTATGTCTGATGCAACAAAATTGCAATTGTCAAAACTTACCTTTAGCTGATGTGTATTAAAGAATTTAAGCGCGCTGGTGTTAGAGCGTCCACCCGGCCCGGAGGGAAAGTCGTGCACCTTAACCGGGAATTGTTCTAGCTGCGTGACGCAACCGTTTAATTTCGCCACGAATGCATTGAATGCGACGGCGTCTATGTTTGGCAAATGTCCCACCTTTTTCAATGGTTCCAGTGGTAATCCCGCGAATACATGCATAAACGAACGTAAACGGTTATCGCGAGCCACTATGCCATCTTCTGTTGTCATGAAATTCAACATCGCCTTGATTAGACCCGAGTGATTCACTTCAAACGGTGAGATATCACTTTCCAATAAAATCGTTTTGAGTTCAAGAAGCGCATCTAAACAGTCTTGGAAGCTACCATTGAGCTTGAAGATAATAGCAGATAAACGTTGTAGTACGTTCGTGCCACCGCTTATGGCATTCGCTGAACTACCACTGCCACCGGCGACACCCTCGGCCTTGGCGTTCTCTTGCTCGGCATAACGTTTTACAAACGTAATGGCTTGTTCACGTACCCATTGACGCGCCTTTTCACGATTGCCGGCGGCGATGAGGTTGGCATTAGATATGCTCTTGCTGATGCTATTCGCAGCATTGCTTGATGGGTGGCTTGCAGAATGAGCAGCGTTGACTGCGCTGCTACCAGTATTGCTGTTGCCGCTGCCTGCGTGATTCGTACTGGTCGTATCTTTGGTAAATGAACTGTGATGAGATCCTTGGCGTCCCCAACGTGCGGGATTTAACGAAGCGAGGAAAGAAGTCTTCATCGAGCTGCTGCCGCTACTGCTAGTGCCTGCACTACTGGCTGCACCACCGCTGAAACGCGACTTGCCGCCACTGGCATTCGGTGTGCTGCGTCCGGTGCTGCTCCCAAGGCCTATAAAATAAAGAACAAATGAAAATATGCTTTAGGCTTGTTGTTGAAAATTTATCTTACTTGTGGCGCGACTTAGCAAATCGTGCATTGATGATGTAGATGAGCTTCCGCCCTCGTCTTGGCGTGACTTTGAGCGGCTGCTTGATTGAGATTTCCGTTTCGGTGGGACCTTGCGTTTCAACATATCGGACATTTTGTGTTGCAACGCTGAAGCGGACGAAGAAGACGCAGAGGAGGAGCCTGCACATGTGGCTGCTACGCCGCTGTTGCTATGATAGTGTGGATCACATACGTTTGTTGAGGGTGCGAACACCACTTGCGGCAAATGCTGCTGAGGAGGCGGATGCGCTATAATTGTTGTTGGGTTGACACCGAGCGATGCACTAGATGACGAAGGCAGCAGTTCAACATGATGTGTGGGTGGTGGTGGTGCATGTGGCTGGAAGTGCGGCGGTGGATGATGAAAATGTCCGTGCACATATTGCCGTGGATCGCCAGGCGGCAAAGGAGGAGCCGCACTTGTTGAATAAACAAAGAAATTTGGTGTCTGTGCCAGATGTGCGTGAGAGGGTGGACCTGCCGCTGGCGGCGCAGAGCTGCTGTAGTGATAATGTAATTCGGCAGCCGTGCCAGCAGCACCTATGACCGTCACTGGCGGTGTAATACCAGCGTTAGAGTTTATGGTTAGCGCTAGGGAGCCAGCGGATTGCTGACGTGATTGCACACCGCCAGCAGGCATTTGTGGCATTAACAATGAACCAGTGCTGGGTGGCATAGCCAGCGTCACCTTTTGACCATTACCAGACGCACCCGAAGCGTTGGCAGTTAAGGCATTCATTGCATGTGAAAAGCTCTTGACTGTATACTGATGGTGATGCGTTTGATTAGCACCCGGTTTCGACGTATTAGGTGTTGAAATGCCAGCTGTGGTTGATCCACCTGCCGAGGCTGCATTGTCCATAAAGAACGGATTCACTTGCAAACCGGAAGCAGATGGAGGAGCACTCTGTGAACCACTTGCTCCGGGTAATGACTTCGGTGAAGGATTGGCACAAATCGGATTGTTGGGATCGGTAAGCTGAGTGATCTGATATATAACACCTTCGCGACGGAAATGTGTGCCGAACACGTCTGGCAGTTTTTGCATTAGTATCTCGGCCATTTGTAGTGCGCCGACTACAATGCGCAAATCGTTACTACCCATCATCCCAGCTATGTGACTGGAGACCAGCTGGTTTTTAAGCACATCACGCAAAAGTTCGGGTGTAGCGTAGTAGACCATTCGTAACAGTGCGCGCAAACATTTGTAGCGCACATTTGGTCCGGCAGACGAACTATAAACTTCGTAAAGTACATTAAACAGGTTCTTAATGAATTCTGCAGCCAAACCGCGTTCCTCCTTCAGACAAGCAATTCGTGCATCTACCGAAGCGCGACGACGTTGCTGTGAACTGCTAGTGGCAGGCGTATTCGGTGCAGTGCTAGGTGTGCTGGATTGAGCTGATGTATTTGTCGCTGTATTCGACACTGTATTAGTTAATGCTGTAATTGCTGTGGCCACCGCAGATGCAGACAAATCCTGACAAGTTGTTACTGATGACGCAGCTGCCGTCGGAGGTGGTAACGGTGGCAAATAGTTTGGATTTATTTTGCGCTGCACTGGTCGCGTAGTGCCGGTGTCCTCGTTTATCTGCTGCATGGAGTGAAAGTCGACGGTGTATGTGCGACCCAATGTGCTTAAGCTGAACTCGTCATCAGAATTTAGATGTGCCGCCTCAATCATGCGCGAATCTATCGTTGAATAGTTATGCCAAGTGCCGCGATCGTCGCGCCACTGCCATTGAACTTGATCCTGAGTGTTCAGTGTGGGCCGATCCAGCAGTCCGTCCACCGTGAATATGCCATCTGTCGGCAAACGTGGCATTAGTTCACCAATTAAACATGTGATTTCGTACAGCTCAGATGGAGAGCGTGTAATTAGCTCTACATGCGATGCGGTCGATGTGTTCGGTTCTGCATTACCGGTTAGCAAGTAAAGCAGAGTTGATGCAATGTCATTCTTCAACAATGAAATGGCTAGGTCGGGGCAGTTACCGCACATTAGACTCAGCATGCGCACGACGGATGTAAAAGTGCCGCTATTAAGTATGGTCGGTGTAACAACCAACAATTGCTGACAATTTTTAAGTAACTCTTTGCTAGCGATCTCTTGCAAACGTTTCGGGTCATGTTGGAAGCTCTCCACCAATCGGCAAAATGCCGAGCAAACGCTTTCCACACATTTTTTGTCCTGTTGCGACAGTAGACGGGCCAAAAGCGGTAAACTTTCAGCCACGAAATGAAATTCCTCCGGATGCAGATTTAAACAACAGTTTGCAGTAATGGCAAGCGCCGCTCGCTGAGCATTGATTGAGAAGAAATCAAGAAAAGTCAAACACGCCGATACGCCATTGGCTTGCAGTATGGCTTTGTTGTGGCGACGCGACAATATTTCGAGAGCAGTTAAACTCTGCTCAGCTACATCCATGCATTGAATGGCTTGCAACTTTTCTAGAAATACCGGCACCGCTTCCACGACAGTGCCCGAAGACCGGGGCAGCGCTTCCAACATATAGGCAAGTGCACGACAAGCATTATTCATTATATCGAAATTATTTTCCATACGCAGTAGCGTAATCAGTGCCGGCACTACCTGCTTGATTGGGAAACCAGCTAAAGTGTCCTCATTGCCCATTACTAGCATTTGGCACATTTCGATAGCCGCTTGAAGCTGTTGACTCTCATCATGCGATTGTAAGCCTTGTAGTAATTGCTGTGCCTTCGATGAGCTGCTATTACCGATGGTGCGATGCAGAATGTGTGTCATACGTGGTCCCAGTGCGCCAAAGAGGTGCGGCGGTAAGCCGCGCGCTTCCAGTAACGCCTGCAGACGCCCCACTTCGCTGTCATCGCTCTCCGAGTCGGCGTGCGAGGTGGCGGCAGGGGTGGCGCCCGCTCCAGTATTCGTGGCCGTCGCGGTGGCGGAAGCGGTGCCCACACCGGCACCCGTACCAGCTCCCGCACTTGCGTTATTCGCTAAATTTGAGTTGGCGGCGCCCAAGGCGGTGGAAACGCTGAGGTTAGCTGCAAGTAAAATAAAAATATATTCCTTAATACAATTTTATTTTATTATCTAATATTATCTATTATTATTACAACTTTCGAATCCAAAATATAATAGTATACTGAAAAAAAAATTATAAATTGAAATAAAAATAAAATCAATTGTAAATATACAGTGCTGTCACCACTTAGCAGGGCTGTATGGAGGAAGAACAGTCAGTCGGATAATGGTTAACCGGGATATTAAGGGCATATTTGGGTCTTACAAAATTAGGAAATAATAAACACAATTTAAACTGTGTACCATATTTTTGAAAGCAGCTAAATTGCAAAGCATGAAAACTCAAAAATATTCAAACGTTCATATACATACATATATACAAAATAATAAAAAGGATACGAAAACATAACGAGATGATGATGCATATTATGAGAGGAGATGATGGGTTATATTCGGTAAGCACTTGTCGTCATATATTTTTCTTCCTTTTGTTTGTTCAACTGTTTTGTTTTTGTTTTAATTTGCAATTACCTGTGGTCGATTGTCCACCAGTGTTCGGCGGTCCACTAGACGGTTGTTGTGCCATTAAACTAAAGCTTAACGCATCCGCGGAGGCTGTTGTGTATAAATTTGCGTGCGTTGTTTTTGTTGTGGTGGTAGTGGGTGGTTGATTAGAATGCGCCATGAAAGTAGATAATTTTGCTAGTTTCTTAATAAATTCATTTAATATGCTTAAAAAAAAATACACAACTCTACACAAATCTTAAAATAACTTTAAAAGCAACCATTTCCGCATTCTGCCCACGACCACGCCCTCCTATGAGCCATTAAATAACCTTGACCGCTCATAAATAGTGAAAGAGTACTGCTTCAATCTACTCTCAAAAAGGAATCTCGACGGTTTGATGGTGCGTTCTAAGGCGAATTATTAAAGGAATGAACATATATTCCACGCTTTGAAGAAATAATGATTTGCTTATGTTTTTGGACACTAATTATAATAAAAAAAAATCTTCCGGAGGACCAAAAATTTTAAAGTGTTCTTCATCAAATATTGGAAGCACCTCACGAATGTGAGGGTCAGAAGATACGAAGGGCGTTAACATTATACCTCTATAAGAATATTTATATATATATATATATATAATATCACCAAAACCAATATATTAATGAGGTTCATAAAACATATATAACGGATCAGGACAGTTTAGAAGAATTTGAAAAGATGATTTTCGTTTTATTTAATGAAGATGGGAATTTTATCAGGATAATGTACACGGAAATTAAATAAATTTGCCAATTTTATAAAGTAGCATCATGACAAATTTTGAAAAGTTTTCAGAGCACAGTAGTCAAGAGCACAACGCTCAATACGTCATGAAAAACATCTTGTGGCTTGCTAGTTTTTAATGGCCGGGAATGATTCAGAATTTCAATTTAGTTAGATATGTATCGTTACTTGCAGAAGTAGAATTTGAACATAACCTATTTAAATTTATATTTTTGGTTTTAGAGTAAGCTAGCATACTTAGGCACCACACGTATACTATATTTGTGTAATGTTTCCTTAAACCGCTACTACACTTAATTCCCAATTAACCAATATATACAGTTAAGAACATTTTAATTAAAAATATATCGAAAAGGTAAAAAAAAAAACTTATGTGAATGTATTGGACCAAATCTAAACACTGCACAGGCGTTGGCGGCATAGTTAGAACCAAATATGTGAAGAAAACAAATTTTAACGAGAACGAAAACGTAAACGTAAACCAAAAACATCAACCCCGCATTTGCTGCACAAACTTACCGCTCGCTTTATTATGCGCATTCAAATTTATGTGGCTACTATTCGTTGCGACAGTGGCGACGCTAGCGGTGGCGGTGTTGGCAGCAGCGGTGGTAGAGTTGGCATTAGCGGTGGCGATGGCGGCAGCACTCGCAGACGACGCACCAACGAAGTGACTCGATGGCATGGCGTTCGTATGCGTATTGGTAGCAGTGGTGCGATAGTTATAGAGGAAGCCAGGCTGCATGATAGTAGCACGATGATGCGCCTGTTGCTGTTGCAGATGCTGTTGTTGTTGTTGCATTAATGATGCGTTTTGATTTTGTTGTGTTGTGCCTATGGCAACAACGACCGCACCACCCGGCGCAGCAACCGACTGATGGAGCATGTGATGATGGTGTTGTTGTTGCTGCTGCAGCAGTGTTTGCTGTTGCATTTGGTTATGATGATGATGGTGGTGATGATGAGGATGCGTAGGGGCAAGTGAGTGTGGTTGATGGTGAAGATTGTATTGTTGGTGGTTTCCAATGGCAGAGGCAGCTGTCAACGGTATGGCACCGACACCGCCGCCACCACTCGTTGTTGCTAATAGTGTTGGTGCTGATACAACTGCAGCATTGTGTACGCCGAGGCCGCTGTTACCCGCCCCATTGCCACTTGCGCTTCCACTCCCGCTGCCACTGCCGTGTTGCGCTGCCGAACTGACGCAAGAACCCGTTTTGCTTCGTGAACTGCGCCTCAGCGAATGTGAAGAATGTGACGGTGGCGCTGCCGACGCTGAACCTGCTCCTCCCGATGTGTTGGATCCTCCTCCACCCACACCTGCAACGATCGCCGTACGATTGCTGCCGTAACTGTGCGGTGGTGGCGCTACTTGAGCGTTTAAATGCGGTGTAAAAGAGGCTGTGGTAGCAGTCGAACGATCAACAACCAATCCGGCGCCTAATCCAATATCAATAGTGGCCGGAAGTACTTGGTGATGACGCGCAGTCGCTGTAGCTGCAGGCGGCGGCTGGGTCACTGAATGTGGAATGCGATGTAAAGGCTGTGGTGCCTCCGTCTGTATGTGGCCGAGCGGCAACGGTAGTGCTGGTACGAGTGGTGGCTGCTGTGACTGGTGCAAATGGGGATTCGAATGGCTATAGCGCCCACCGAGTTGTGTATGCAGCGATTGTTGTGGACTTTGTTGGTGCTGCTGCAAAGGTTGCGGCAGTGGTGGTGGTGGTGGCGGTGCTTGCTGTTGCTGCTGGTAGATAAGCGGTGCTGAACTTATGGGCGCTGCACCAGCGACAGGTCCTGTTGATTGATAGTGATTAAGATTCAAGTTTAATATAGCTGATGTTGAAGCAGCAACTGCAGCTGCAGCGGCCGTTGTTGCTGCTACTGCACTGTTGTTGGGGTAGGTCGCGTGATAGAAATGAACAGGTTGTTGTTGCTGTTGCACCTGCGATTGCAGTTGCACTTGTACCTGCTGGTTTTGGTGCTGTTGTTGTTGTTGTGAAGAGCGCGTTTGTTGTTGCTGATGCTGATGATGATGATGTTGCTGATGAGGTTGGTGTAAATTATGATGTTGTGCTTGCAGGGGCGACTGATAATTCGCCTGTGCGTTAAAATAGTGATGGGCACCGCCAGCTGCGACTGGTACGTGTAAATAATGCGATTGTGGCGGCACCTGTTGATGTGCCAATAAAATTTGTGGCGCCACCTGTGTCTGCCCCTGTTGGTTGTAGTGTGTTATTAGCTGGTGTGACAACTGTGAATGTTGTGGCAATGCGTGCTGATACTGAGCTTGTGGCTGTGACTGTGGTTGAGATTGTGGCTGTTGTCCAAATGTTGCAGCTCCTGCTACACCTGAGATGGACGCGCCACCTCTGTTGCCGCCCGCAATTGTGGCTGCGCCTGTTAAACCGCCAGCAACAAAATCTGTGCTGCCACCGCTGCTACGCGTCTGTCGTGCCCCCAGATTCGGGGCCTTATTGTAGCCTGTCGTCGTAACTGCGTTTGTTGCAGCAGACTCAATAATACCAATATTCTTGTTGCTTAAACTTCCGCTGTTGTTGCCTACGTTCTTCTCAATCCTGCCGCCGCGCCTCTTCCTACTGCGCTTACTATTGCTACTAGTTTGATTCTGTAGGAATTGCACTTGACGTTGTCGACACTTCTTATTACTCTTCTTTGCGCTCCTCAGGTGGCTACTACCAACAACACAGCTTTGACGACAATCGAAAGCGTTTGTGTGATTACCTTTGAAAAGCGTTGGAGGGGAATCAAACAGAAGAAAAGTCTGGTTGTAGTTGTTGGTGATATTGAAAAAATTATGTTTTCGATTTGTTTTTTTTTTTTTTTTTTTTTATTTTATTTTGTATATATTTTTGTTATTTTTGTT